AGCCCAGTCCTGGTACTGGAAGCTTCATTTGGTAACAAGAGATGGCCAGTTGAGGCTCTGCCTTCCCCATTATTTGGCAATTTCTTTTAGATCACCTTCATATGTGTATATATTTTAGGGAGCTTGGCTATATTAGGTTTCCATACTATCCCTCAAATGGTACTTTTAGCTGTCTCTCTCCTTATTCCCCTTCTTATTTCCCTGTCCCCTCTACTTCCTGTACCTAACTTCTGTGGTTCTAGGGACTGTAGCTTGGTTATCATTGACATAACAGCTAATATCCACATATAAGTAAATGCATACTGTATTAACCTTTCTGGGTCTGAGACACTCCACTCAGGATGATTATTTTTTTCTAGTTCCATCTATTTACCTGTGAATTTCATGATTTCTTTTTTCTTTCTTTCTTTTCTTTTAGGGACTCCAATGTGTAAATATACTACATTTTCATTATCCTCTTCTGTTGAGGGATATCTAGGCTGTTTCCAGTTAGTTTCTGGTTATTATAAATAGAAGAGCAATGAGCATGTAATAGGATAAAGCACCCACTGGGTATGTGCCTAAGAGGAGTGTAGCTGGATCTGGAGGTACATTGATTCCCATGTTCCTAAGGAACTACCACAGTGATTTCCATGCTGAATACGTTTTCACTCCCACCAGCAATGGATGAGTCTTCCCTTCATTCTACATCCCCACCAACATGAGCCGTCGCTTGTGTTGCTAATCTTAGCCATTCTGACAGCTGGAGGATGAAATCCTCAAAGTAGTTTGCTTTGTGTTTCCCTGAGGGCTACAGATGTTGAACATTTCTCTAAGTGTTTCTCAGTCATTTGAAATTCTCCTTTTAAGAATTCTGTTTAGATCTGTACCCCATTTTAAATTGGGGATTTTTGTTTTCTTTTCTTTCTTCTTTTTTTTTTTTTTTTTTGTTGTTGTTTGGTTGGTTGGTTTTTGTTGTTGTTGTTTTTCCAGATAGGGTTTCTCCATGTAGCCCTGGCTGTTCTGGAACTCACTCTGTAGACCAGGCTGGCCTCAAACTCAGAAATCCGCCTGCCTCTGCCTCCCAAGTGCTGGGATTAAAGGTGTTTGCCACCACTGCCCGGCAAAGATTTATTTATTTATTTTATGTATGTGAGCACATTGTCAAGGGCATTGAATCCCATTACAGATGGTTGTGAGCCACCATGTGATTGCTGGGAATTGAACTCAAGACCTCTGGAAGGACAGTCAGTGCTCTTAACCACTGAGCCATCTCTCCAGCCCTCTGCCCAGGCCTTCTTATGTCTTCAACTTCTTTCTTTAATGTCTTGAAGTTTTTATCATACAAGTCTTTCACTTGCTTTGTTAGAGTACCCAAGATACTTTAATATTATTTGAGGCTATTATTGTTTCTTTTTTGGGGGGATTGTTTGTTTTTATGTAGGCACATATAGTACTATGTACTTGCTTCTGAAATTCGTCCTCATTGTGTCCCATAAGTTGGTTATGCTTTGTGTTCGTTTCCATTCCATTCTAGAAAATCCTTTAATTTCTTTCTTTATCCCTATCTTGACCTATTTTTCATTCAATAGTGAGTCATTCAGTTTCTACAAGTTTGTAAACTTTCTGTTGTTTCTGTTGTTGATATCTGGCCAGCTATAATCCATGGTGGTCTGATAGGATGCACGGAGTTTTTTTCATTTTCTTGTATTTGTTGAGAGTTGCCTTGTATCCAAATATATGGTCAGTTTTGGAGAAAGCTCTGTAAGGTGCTGAGAAAGAAGTATATTCTTTTGTGTTTCACTGAAATGTTCTGTAGGTATGTGTTGGATCCACGTGGTTCATATCATCTATTAACTCCGGTATTTCTCTGTGTATTTTTTGTCTGTAGAACCTGTTTATTGGTGGGAGTGTGATACTGAAAGTTGTCACTATCACTGTGTGAGGGTCAATATGTGATTTAAATTGTAGGACCTGACTGCTGCTTTGCTTTAGTCTGGGGTCAGGAGCATGAGGAAGAAGCCAGCCCTGCTGTAAGTCATGTTTATTACATAGCCAAGACCCTTTGTCCTATCTGCATACTTATCAGGAAGAGATTCTAAGTTCTAGCCATTCCTATCCATTCATACACATTAACCCAAGAAAGAAAAAAAGAGAAGCTGGTTACTAAAAGAAGCAGGTTGAGTGGTCCTCTTTTTTTTGTTGTTGTTTGTTTTGTTTTTGTTTTGTTTTTGTTTTTGTTTGGTTTTCAAGACAGAGTTTCTCTATATAGCCCTGGCTGTCCTGGAACTCACTCTGTAGACCAAGCTGGTCTCAAACTCAGAAATCTGCCTGCCTCTGCCTCCCAAGTGCTGGGATTTAAAGGCGTGTGCCAACACTGTTGTTTTATTTTGTGTATGGTTGCTTCCTCTACAAACTTAGGTGGTCCATAGACATTAAAATTCGCAATGTCCCCTTAGTGGATTTTTTTCTCTGATGATTATGTGATATCCTTCTCTATTCTGATTCATTTTGGTTTGAAGTATATTTTGTCAGATATTAGAATGCTTACACCAGTTTACTTTTTAGGTTCCTTTGCTTAGAATATCTTTACTATCCTTTTACCCTAGGGTGATGTCTAACCTTGACATTAAGGTGTACTTTTTGAGGGCGGGAGAAATGGCTCAGTGGCTAAGAGCACTGACTCTTCTTCCTGAGGTCCTGAGCAACCAGGACCTCAATTCCCAGCAGCCACATGGTGTCTCACAACCATATGTAATGGGATCTGATGCCTTCTTCTGGTGTGTCTGAAGACAGCTACAGTGTACTCACATACATAAAATAAATCAAATCTTTTTTAAAAATAAAAAAAAAGAAGGTGTGTTTGTTGGATGCAGCAGAAAGACAGATCCTGTTTTCCCATCCTTTTGTTAGTCTGTGGCTTTTTATTGGGGGAATTGAGACTATTGATAGTCGATCCCTGTTATTTGGTTGTGGTGGTATCTATGTGTGTTTTCTCTCTTTTGATACCCTCTTCTGGCCTCCAAGAGCATATGTGATGCAAAGGCGTGTGTGCAGGCAAAATATTTATTGCCATCTAGGGGTCTTGATCAGGTTTATTTTCTTTGCTAATTCGCGAATCAAAAGGCAAGAAAAATCTCTAGCGTGACAGCAGCAGGCAAATTCACTCAAATGCAGCAAGCAGGAGCAGGCAGAATCAGCCAATCAAAAGCAACTGTTATTAGCGATGAGGAAATACAGGCAGCAGACCAAGAAAAGATCCTCCATGCATGGGAGAGGGGGCACAGGACAGGATAGATGTCCTAAACTCAGAAAGCAGAGGTCCAGCTTCTCCTTAAGGGGCTAGTTTTTGTTCTGTTTTGAAGTTGTCAAATTGCCTTCTTTCCCTAATTTAGGATTGGTCAGTTTGAAGACAAACAGGACCACTGACTGACCCACAACTGTGGCTTAAACGTGTCCTGACCTGGCCTTGAACTTGTTGAACCAGTCCATCAGAGCAGAGACCTGACTGGCCTTTGTTTTAAGCTGCCATGCTTTTTTGTCTGGGGTCAGAAGCATGAGGAAGAAGCCAGCCCTGCTGTAAGTCACGTTTATTACCTAGCCAAGGCCCTTCATCCTATCTGCATACTTATCAGGAAGAGATTCTAAGTCCTAGCCATTCCTGTTCATACACATTAACCCAAGAGAGAAAAAGAGCATGTTTAGTCCCTCAGACACCTCACCAACCTTGTTTTGGTTCCCAAAAGCTGCAATAATTCCTCTGTAGCCAAGGATGGATTTGAACTCACTCCTCCCGACCTCCATCTGAGATTCCAGGTGTGCAATATTAAGCCTAGTCTAGTTTGTTCAGAGCTAAGTGTGTGACTGATTCAGTCTGCCCAGAGTGGATAATGGGAAGGTGGTTTAGCGGAACTTGTATATGTGGTCATGGGACAGACAAAAACTCAAAATCAGGATGGTGCCTAAAAAACAAACAAAAACAAAAAAAAAAAAACAAACAAACAACAAAAAAAAACTTACCCATCAGGTGGGCAGGATATAGCACAGAGAAGAAGTTGCTGTGCATGAAATCCTTAACATTTTGGGTTGGTTTTTGGGTTAGTGGAAGCTAGTGCTGTTTAAGGCCTTCTATACGGAAAGGTTGCGCCGGGCAGTGGTGGCGCACGCCTTTAATCCCAGCACTCGGGAGGCAGAGGCAGGCGGATTTCTGAGTTCGAGGCCAGGCTGTTCTACAGCGTGAGTTCCAGGACAGCCAGGACTACACAGGGAAACCCTGTCTCTGGGGAAAAAAAAAAAAAAAGAAAAAGAAAAAAGGAAAGGTTTCACTTGCTAGAAGAAGGAGTGTTAGGTCAAACACAGAAATGGAAACAGCTATTAAGGAGACTAAAGCTACCCAAGAAAATCTGGCTTTGATCTGCAGCATTCCAACCTCCCCACAATCTCCAACTCTTATCAAACGGGTCTTTAACATAGGTTTGGCTCCCGAGATCCCGGTAGACACAGAAGAGGCTTTGATTGAAGTATGTTATAATCTCAGCACTTTGAAAATTCTAGCCGGGAAGTGGTGGCCCACGCCTTTAATCCCAGCACTTGGGAGGCAGAGGCCAGTGGCTCTCTGAGTTCGAGGACAGCCTAGTCTACAAAGTGAGTTCCAGGACTCATCAGCCCTATAGTCCCTTGAAGATCCATTTACCCTCAGTTTTAAATGACACCCTAAGGAATTCAAGGAGGTCACCTGAGCCTCCAAGTCCAGGCACTTTAGTTACTAATCTTAGAGGTTGTCGAGAAATCCGGACAAATGGAGGGCGTAGGGCTGCCAACTGAGACACTAGGATGGTGCTTCCATGTGGAGAAGGAGCATCCAGATTCTGGGAAACAATGAGGAAGAACACCTGTGTATCTGGCTGGCTGCCTGGAGTCCATTTCCTAAAAAGGAGACCCTGGGTGGAGCCTGCCCTTCCTCTTAGCTGGAGACTCAAGAGGCCAAAGCCAAGGCTCATTGGAGCCTGAATAGTGGGAGGGGCTACAGATGGGAGGGTCCCTGCTGAGTGGGTCCAAAATGGAGTTGAGATTTCATCCTAAATTCTCAAAACATACCCTCAATCACACCTGAAGTGAGCTCCAGATGAAATGGAGGCATCTCCACGTTCCCTGAGTAAGTCTGGGTCCCGAGATGCCTGTTAGCATCCTGTGTGTCTGGTGGGCAGGACTGCTATGATGAAGTCTGAGTTTTACAGTTCCCATCTGTCCCCAGAGCCGACCGGGCCTTGTAGAAAGTAAGGCCATCTCAGTGGAGTTGGGGGTCTGTGTGTTAGTGTCAGGAGAGCTGCTCTGAGCACATGACCCTTTTGCTCCTCCAAGGTTCAGACTTAAGGAAAGGAGAGCCAATGCAAGGACAGCGTACTGTGAGACTCCTGGTGGGATTTCTCCACACAACCCGTCGGCTTAGATTTAGACTGCTCTATTATCAAGAGAACTATTTGCAAAACTATTTTAGTTTTGATTTCTATTTTGTAAGATTTTTGTTTGGCAGGTTTTCCTTCTGGAATGGTGTTAATAGTTACGTTTATTAGAGACAAGGTGTCATGGACCTCAGTCAGGCATGTTGGAAATGAACTTGAACGATTGTTTGTATCTTTGGAGATGCAGTCTTCCTATACATCCTGCTGGCCTAAACTCTGATATAACACGCCTCTGCCTCCCAAGTGCTAAGATTTTGGGTAAATGCCACCAGGCCTGGCTATTTTGGACCTGACAATGTTGAAATCTTGTAAGGAATTCCTTCTACCTGAATGCTGGGATTACAGGCTTGCAGACACTATACTCACACAAACTCAAGTTAACTGACAGTCTCAATTTCCAACAGCAGAATCATTATTTCAAACTACCCATCCTCCTGCCTCAATTCTCCAATTGCTGGGATTAAGGGTATGACTCTCCACTCTGCCTTTTTTCAAACACTCAGACCTTGAGCTCCAGAAAGGTTTAACTCGGTGGAACTGGAAAGTGGGGAATTAAAGTGGGTCCCTAAGAGGAAAATCAGACCTTGGGGTTATAAGGAAGGCTGATCTCCTGACAGTTGCTAACTTCCTTTGTATATGTGTGCCCAGGCAAGAGTATAGAGGTCTGAGGACCTCTATGTTCAGTGAGTTAGCTCCTACCATGAATTCACTCAAGATCAAAATTCACATCATCAGGCTTGGCAGCAAGGGCTGACCATCACTCTCCACTCTCATGATACATATTTCCTGACCCATTTTTTTCCCTCTGTCTTAGCCTCCTATACCCTGTGTCCCCTTGACCAGAAGTACAGTTGGGAGCAGCTTTGGCAGCTGGAACAACACTTCAAGATGGAACCCTACCCAGACCTCCAGGCTCGAAAGATCATGGCCACAGAACTCAAACTGAAGGAGGAACAAGTTGAGGTCAGATTGCCATACCCAACCTTCTGTGCCTCTCCATCAGTGTTCTCCACACTGAGAACCTTTGGAGTCAAAAAACAACAACGAAAAAACATTCTCAGGGATTACATTGTAGATAGTCTGTATTTTAGATATTCAAATTAGGATTCTTTTTGTTTGTTTGTTTGTTTTTGTTTTTCTAGACAGGATTTCTCTGTGTAGCCCTGGCTGTCCTGGAACTCACTCTGTAGACCAGGCTGGCCTCGAACTCAGAAATCCGCCTGCCTCTGCCTCCCAAGTGCTGAGATTAAAGGTGTGCACCACCACTGCCCGGCTTGTTGCTGTTTCCTAAGTGTAATTTTGTTCCTGTTATGAATCCTAATTTGAGCTGGGCAGCATTTCTGAACCTGAAGATATCCAACTCTTTCTGACATGAACAACTCTTTCACAGGGGTCAGATCAGACCAACAGAAAAAAAAAACCAGATATTCAAATCACAGCAGTTCATAACAGTAGGAAAGTTACAATCATGAAATAGCAGTGAAAACAATTTTTCTTAGACAGAGTTTCTCTGTCCTGGGAATCACTCTGTAGACCAGGGTAGCCTCAAACTCAGAGAAGGCCTGCCTTTGACTCCCAGTGCTGGGATTAAAGGTGTGAGTCACCCTCTCCACCTCTACCCTCTCCCAACAACATGAAGAAGTTTATTAAAGGCTCAAGCATCAGGAAAGTTGAGAACCATATGCAGGCTAGGCACTCTAGCAGGTTGCATCTCTGGATGGTAGGCCCTACCCTTGAGGCCCCTCAATACTTCTTAGGGGGCCTTCTTTTGGGTCCCTGATGAAAGAAGAAGGCTGGAGAACACTTGGATGGCAGCTTTGGGAAGCTAGTTCCACCTTAGTATCACCTCAAAGCCTAGGGAGCACAGGGTCCGTCCTTAGATATATTTACATGTGTTCTTCCCTGCAGGCTTGGTTCATCCAGAGATCCTTGGAGCAGGAGATGCGCCCTCCCTTGGCCAGACTGCAGCCTTCTGCCCGGGATGATACCTCTTCTCCTTCCGACAAAGCCCCCTGTTGCCACCTACCAAGCTGGAAGTACAGGCTGGTTCCCATCAATCTCCCTGAGTCCTCAACCAGCTGTAAGCACAGTTGCTGACCCTCCTTCCCCATGGGGCCACTACTACAAGGAGCACAAAACTGCTTCCCCCAACTCCCCCTCCCTTTCAGACTCCTGGCTGCACCAAACTCATCAAATGGTGGATGCATTCCAGAAACAACCTGGTCAAATGTTTGAATACCTGGGTACCAGGACAGATGACATTGGACAGAAATGGTGTGGCCAAGGTTGACTCTCCAACTAGGGCCTGCACCAGGTCCTGCAGGGCCACACCCACAGGGGTGGATCCCATTCTTGAACCAGCCTCCCCTCAAAGGTGGCCTATCCTTCAGGCTAACTATCAACTCAATATGTAGCACAGTATCACACTGATTTCTTGCCTCCTTTACCCAAGGCACGATTACAGACTAACATAGACTGACAGAACAACCATCTCCCAAGAGACTAACCGGTTAACACCGCTAGCTTTTGTTTCCTCTGTGACCTTCATCATGCATTTTGTGCCAATGAGTATTTTATGGTTTCTTATGGATTTTGATCTTTTGGTGCTTCTGAGGACCTGTATGGGCTTTAGACTTGGGAGTGGCTCATTGATAAAGTGAAACTGTTGATCAATAAAGTTGTTTTTCTTTTTTTATTAAAAAAAAAAAAGTGTTGTTTCTTTTAAAAAATACTTTGTGTGGAAGCCGGCTGGTTGTGTAGCAGACAGGACAGAGGACCACACAGGAATAGATTCTCCTGGTATTGAGTTGGAGCTTGGGTCTTCAGGCTTCCTGCCAAAGGCCTTTCAACCACAGCCACCTCAAATAGCTAGGCTTTCTTGTTGTGTTGTGATGCTCTTTGAGGTAAAGCTGCACTACAGTAACTCGAGCTGGCCAGAAATTTGCAACTTAACCTTGAATAGTGGCACAGGCCTTTAATCCCAGCACTTGGGAGGCAGAGGCAGGCAGATTTCTGAGTTCGAGGCCAGCCTGGTCTACAGAGTGAGTTCCAGGACAGCCAGGGCTACACAAAGAACTCTGTTAATCTGGGAGCTGGGAAACGGCTCAGCCGTTAAGACCACTGCTCTCCTGAGGACCCTGGTTTGATTTACACTACCCAGTTGGTTTGAAATAATCTGGAACTCCAGAACCAGAGGCTCTGACACCCCCCTCTCTGGCTTTCCAGAGCACTGTATAAATGAAGTGCCCGACATACATGCAGGCAGAACATCCATTCAACTAAGGAACAGTGGTCATACTGAGCACATGAGTGATGCAAAACAGGTTTGAGTTCCCCCAAGTGATGTGAAGACTGAAAAAGCCTGAGCTTGATTTGCTCCATACAGAATGTTTAATCAAGAAGTTATTGTATAGGTACCAACTACATTGGTGTGACCATAAAGGGCTTACAGCAGGAATAGAAACCTCTCTGCATGGAACATCCTGTCTGTGGAAAGGAGGCTGGTCATGAACTCACAGAAATCTGCCTGTCTTTGCCTCCTGATTGATGGAAGTGAAGGTGTACTCCACCATGCCCAGCCTGCAGAAGACATTCTTTGGGTTTGGTGGAATTTAGTGTTGTGTTAATACTTTGGAAAAGGTGAAGCATTTACCTGGTTGTAAACTAGAATGTCAGGGGAGGAGTCAGGTATGGCTTGTGCAGCCAAGACAGCCCAAGATGATTTTGCTTTAACCACAGTCTCCAAGTCTTAACCAAGCAACCTCATTGTTTGGGTTTCTTATTGAGACGGGGTCTCTGAGTAACACTGGTGGCTTTAGAATACTCTATGCAGACCAGGTTGGGCCTCAAACCTCAGAGATCCATCTGTCTTCCTCCCACCACACCCCGGGTGCTGGCATCAAAGGCATGGGCCACCTCAACTGGCTCCCTGTAGAATCCTCCAAACAGACGTGGATGGCATGGAAATTCTTTTTCCTGACAACTTTAGTTACTGAGACATGGATGAATTTCGTGAACTCAGTCAGGTGATATTTTAATAAATTATTCAATATCTATAAATATTCTATGCTTGTTTGTGAAAAGCCAAGATTCCCTCCACTCTAAATTTGTGCTTACAACCAGTCAGCCTAGACTCCCACCTCTTTTTTTTTTTTTTCTTCTTCAAGACAAATTTTCTCTGTAGCCCAGGTTGACCTTGGTATCAGAGGCTGGCCTCCCTCTGCCTCCGAAAGGCTGGGATTAAAGGCATGCACAACCACAGCCTGAACATTTTAGCCTCTTAACAAAGGCTTATCTAAAAAGTAGAGAAAGTTGGGTGTGGTGGTACCTGTCTTTAATTCCAGACTCAGAGGCAGAGTCCAAGGACAATTTGGTCTATACATCCAAGTTCCAGTCCAGCCAGAGTTACTGGTCAAACCTGTTTTGTTTTGTTTTGTTTTTTTCAAGACAGGGTTTCTCTGTATAGCCCTGGCTGTCCTGGAACTCACTCTGTAGACCAGGCTGGCCTCGAACTCAGAAATCTGCCTGCCTCTGCCTCCCAAGTGCTGGGATTAAAGGTGTATGCTACCACCGGCCAGCTTTTTTTGTTTGTTTGTTTGCTTTTTGGTTTTTTTTTTCGAGACAGGGTTTCTCTGTGTAGGTCTGTCTGTCCTGGAACTCACTCTGTAGACCAGGCTGGCCTCGAACTCAGAAATCCACCTACCTCTGCCTCCCAAGTGCTGGGATTAAAGGCGTTCGCCACCACTGCCTGGCAAATTCATACTTTTCAACTTCAATGACTGAAGCCAGGATCAAGACATAGTCACTGTCTCATAGTGCATGCCCCTACTCTCAGCACTTTGGAGGGGAAATCTGGAAGATTAGCTCTTCAGAGTCAATCTGTGTTCAGACTTCCAGAAATCTAGGATGGCCTTTGATTCAAGCACCCTGGATTCAAGGCAGGCAGATTTCTGAGACTTGGAGGCCAGTGTGGTTTACATATTGAGTCCAGGGTGTAAGACTCTGCCCACTCTTAACTTACCTGGGATCGCCTGAGTAAACCGCAGGGATCCGAGAATCGAGTAATTTATTGTTCCAAAGGGTTGAGGTCATCCTGCACCTGAAGGAGAAGTGGCAAGCCTGGGCAGCCCATTTGGCCAGTTTTTATACAGTTTTTAGGGCAGCAGCCATTAGGCACAACATGATTGACAGAACAGTGCGACTTTTTTAACTGATTGGTCATTAGGGAACAAGGTGGCAAGGACCTCTCTTGTCTGTAGGTAACCAAGGGTTAGTCTGTCCTTTGGAATGTGTCCTTGTGCTCTGGGCCTTCCCCACCCACAGGTGAGTTCCCTCCCCTTTGGTCTGAGGAATGTTAATCAGCCTATTTCCTTCTGGGAGAGCAAGTGTCCTCTGAATGAGGAAGGTAAATTAGCCTCTCCCATCCACCTCTCCCATCCAGCAAACGTCCCAGGGCCTTTCCAAAGGTCCTGAGCTGACCTCTTTCAGGGCAGCTGAGGGACATAGTGAGATCTGTCCGAAACACCATGTGGTGACAGCAGCAGCTGTCCTCAGGACCCCATTTGCCGTTAGTCCCAGGACACACCTTAAGGAGAAATTACCAAGCAGGGGAGCCTTCCAGACCCCTCATGTCCAGACAACCAAGGGAGCCTTGTAAATATGAAGTAACATTCCCAGTGTCCTTGGGGACCACAGACAGGGTGTGTGGAGGAAGGGGCCATCGGCACGAAACTCTGGTTGGTCCCTTCCCTTGGTGCAGAGCTTTAGGAAGGAACCTGCAAGCCGGAGGCCCATTTCCGGGAATCAAGATCCTGATGAGGCCCGGCGGCTGGTCAGGGCTCTGGAAGCTTGAGAACACCTGATTGGCCAAGGCTGTTTTTTTCCAAGTTCAAAGTAGCTACTCAATAAAGATATTGGCACCTTGGAAGGCAATGCCTGACGGGAGCAGAGGGGAGTGGCAGGCGGCAAATAGTGGGAGGAGCTGCTGGTGGGAGGGACCTAAATGGGTGGGCCCAGCTTGGAAGAGGGATTTAAGAAAAAAAAAAATCCTAGAGGAGAGCCTCAAACTGAAGCCTGGAACTCAAGTGCGCTACAGTGACAAACGGAGAGACTGAGATGGAGAGATCTTCGCGTTTTCGTGAGTTTGAGCTTCAGAAGAATGTTTAAATGCCGAGGAATGGGCAGGGATTCGTTCCCCGGAACTCAGGCTTTGCGAATCTAGTCTGGATCTTTCGAAAGAGGACCAGCCTCTTTGTAAAGGGACGTGGGCAGTAGAATTGGATTAAAGACTGAAATGTAGGCGGGAAGCTGAATGTATTGATTTGATCTCAACCAGAATCACGGTTATAGCCAGTTAGCTACAGGGTGAAGGGGAGTGTAAGAATGTGGCCCTGGGCGGCAGCCTGGTACTTGTGTGGTGGGTGAGTTTAACCAAATTCCTGCGTCTGTTTTTTCTTTTCTTTGGTGATTTTGAGGGTGAGGGTGGGGGTGGGGAGGCTAGTAGGAGTGGTTTAAGTTACAGCACAAAATCCAGGGCATGAACTTGAACTCCCATAACTCTTGGGCTCGAACCTGAGCACCGAGAATACAAGATCTGGACACCACACCCAGACAATTTATTTAATTTCTGAAATAGCACCACAGTGATTCCAAGCTGCTCATCCCCCTCATTCAGAACTGCGACAGCGGTGGTTTCCTCAGGCTCTTATGGGCTAAAGAGTGGGTGGGCCCTCCACAGGCCCCTTCAGTGTTTGGGTTCCTTTGAGGGCGCTGAGAACCTCAAGAGAGGAAGTGAGGCCCTGAAGGGAAAGACTCAAAAGACCCTCCATGACCCTTGGGATCAAGGTTTTTGGTTTTTGAGCCATCATTCAGCTTATTTTTTTAAAAGTAACCCTCATGTATGTGGGTATGAGTTGGTTTCTTCTTTCACCACTGGGTCCCTGGAATCCAGTTGAGGTTAATGTGACTGGCCATCTTAACACAGTCACCTGGGAAGGACAGAAACAGTTGCTCTCATGTATATTTTTCCCTCCTCAGCCTCTATGTCCAAACTTCAGCTCACCCACGAGCAGTACCGGGAGATAAGAAGGCACTTCCGGTTAGACCCCAACCCATCGGAGAAGACTCTGGAGGCCTTGGCTGATGCACTCAACCTGAAAAAGAAACACGTCAAGGTGAGATTCCTCTTCCCTAACATGAAGGGTGGCACTTCATTTCCAATTCCAGACATCACATGGGACTGGAGCTTCCTTGGGTCTCCCCAATCAGTCTCTGTGCACCCACAGACCCAACATCCTCAAAAGGGCTTGAACTACTGTGGTGGCCCACGTCTTTCTGTTTGTTTGTTTGTTTGTTTTTTGAGACGGGGTTTCTCTGTGTAACCCTGGCTGTCCTGGAACTCACTCTGTAGACCAGGCTGGCCTCGAACTCAAATCCTCCTGCCTCTGCCTCCCAAGTGCTGGGATTAAAGGCGTGCACCACCACCGCCCGGCCAAGCCCAAGTCTTTCTTATTAGAGGCCAACAGATCTCTGGAAGTTTGAGAACATCCTGCTCTACATAGCAAATTACAGGTCAGCAAAGAGATGGAGACTAGCACACCAGGAAGTCAAAGTCATCACTTCCTGACCTACCTACTGTAATTGGAAGGTGGACTGGGCTACTGTTGAGAGGGAGGGAGGGAGGGAGGAAGAGAGGGAGAGAGGAAAATGGAAGTCAGGTGGTGGTAGCACACCCTTTTCATCCCAGCTGGAGTTCAAGGTAAGCCTTGTCTACAGATTTAAATTCCAAGAAAGCCAGGGATACACAGAGGAACTCTGTCAAAACAAACACTGGGCGGTGGTGGCACACGCCTTTAATCCCAGCACTTGGGAGGCAGAGGCAGGTGGATTTCTGAGTTCGAGGCCAGCCTGGTCTACAGAGTGAGTTCCAGGACAGCCAGGGCTATACAGAGAAACCCTGTCTTGAAAAAAAAAAACAAAACAGGTTTGACCAGTAACTCTGGCTGGACTGGAACTTGGATGTATAGACCAAACTGTCCTTGGACTCTGCCTGAGTCTGGAATTAAAGGCAGGTACCACCACACCCAACTTTCTCTACTTTTTAGATAAGCCTTTGTTAAGAGGCTAACATGTTCAGGCTGTGGTTGTACATGCCTTTAATCGCAGCCTTTTGGAGGCAGAGGGAGGCCAACCTGGGCTACAGAGAAAATTTGTCTTGAAGAAGAAGAAAAAAAAGAGGTGGGAGTCTAGGCTGACTGGTTGTAAGCACAAATTTAGAGTGGAGGGAATCTTGGCTTTTCACAAACAAGCATAGAATATTTATATACAGAGAGAGTTCCAGGACTACACAGAGACACCCTGTCTCAAAAAAACAAACAAAAACAAACAACAAAACAAAAAAAAGTTTTTAAAATAAATAAAAAATATCCTAAATTAAAAACAACAACAACAAAACCAGAATGTTTTAAGATGGAGATAGTTTTGTTTTGTTTTTCAGAAGATTGAGATTATCCTAGGTTCTGCAGCCAGTGAAGGCTAGCCTGGACTACATGAACCTTGTGTCCCAAACAATCAGCCCTGGTTGTAGTCTTGAAAGTTCCAGACCTCAGCAACTGCCCAGACCACCCCTAACCCCTGCCCTTCCAAACAAAACAAAAGCCTCAAGCAGGCAACCTCAGAGTCCCTAGGTAACTGGCCTTGCCTTTAACAGCTATCTACTCCTTTTGGAGTCCATGATCACAGCCTAGACCAAGGGCCTATTTTCAGATCTCCATGTTTTCTTTACCTCTCCAGGCCTGGTTCCACATGATGCAGAATCAGAGGTTGCGCTACTTGCTTTCTAAGATCTACAGGCAGCAGAGAATGTTGTGTCGCCAGTACGTATCAAGAGCGACCACACAGACGAACCCCGAGGAGTCCTCTCAAAATGACCCTGGACTCCCAGAAGCTTTGGAAGCCTTGAAGAATCTCACACTCTCTGGATTCCAAAGCACAGTTGGTCCGTCACAGGATTGCTGACTTCAACTTCCTTGTTGGGGCAGGGGACGTTGGGATTTATGTCTATGGAAGGTATATTAATAATAAAGTTTGCATTTATAGAAACTAAAATGACTGTTCTTTTTTGTTTTCTTTTTTGTTTGTTTGTTTTTTGTTTGTTTGTTTGTTTGTTTGTTTGTTTTGAGACAGGGTTTCTTTGTGTAGCCCTGGCTGTCCTGGAACTCACTCTGTAGACCAGGCTGGCCTCGAGCTCAGAAATCCGCCTGCCTCTGCCTCCCAAGTGCTGGGATCAAAGGCGTGCGCCACCACTGCCCGGCTTAAAATGACTGCTTTAAGAGAGAAAATTATATCTTAATCCATAGCCCAGTATGGAGCTTTTATATCCTAGGATAGACTTCAGAACAGGGGTAGCTATCTTGAGATTTTTGTTTTCACATCCTTGTGGACAGGTTATCCTGGATGCCCTTGAACACTGTAAGCCTGAGGATAGCTTACAAAAACAAGGTGGTGTTTCCCTTTAGTCCCAGCATCATCCAGGAGGAAGAAGCAGGTGAGTCTCTGAGTTCCAGGCCAGCCAGTGCAGTTTATAGGGGGAAACCCTGTCTCATCAAAACCAAACAAATGAAAACAGCAAGTTTCCCTATGGCATTTGCACATACACTTTAGAGTGACTCAGACTCAAGAGTTCTGCGCTGTCCCCTGCTCCAACTCCCTTTCATTTCCCTAATCCAGTGTGAGATAATGTTGTGTCTGTTATCCTTTTTTTTTTTTTTTATAAATGTCTGGATGTTTTATACTGTTAGGTAGCTGGGCCCCCGGCTCTGCAGCTTTCCCAGGCTTCAAGAGCTGATTGTGTCTGGGCGGTGGTGGCACACGCCTTTGATCCCAGCACTTGGGAGGCAGAGGCAGGCGGATTTCTGAGTTTGAGGCCAGCCTGGTCTACAGAGTGAGTTCCAGGACAGCCAGGGCTACACAGAGAAACCCTGTCTCGGAAACCCCCCCTCCCAAAAAAAAAAAGTCTTCTGGATATGGCACAGGGTAAGCTGGGCCCTATGGTAGTTCTATATTTATGAGGGCACATGGCAAAAGTTTTGTGGAGGTCAGAAGATGCCTTATGGTTTTCTCCTTTCGGTCTATGTCTCTGGTTTGTCTATTTTTAAGTTCTGGGGTTCTCTTTGCAGCACTCTCAGGGCCCTGGGTCCTTCTCAGTCTCTCTCTGGTATCCCTAGTGACTATTCTTTAGTCCCTACAGCTGGTTTGTTCTGTCATCGGCCTCATCTGTTTTAGCAAATACTCAATCCTCTTAAGCCACATGGCCTCAGCAAAACAGGACGCATTAGTGGGGATTTAGAAGGACCTGTGACAGTCTGTGGAAAGGTTGGGGGCAGATACAATGTGACAAGGCTGCTTATTAAGGGTCTCCTGCTAGGGAAGATACAGGGGAAATAAGCCATACCATTGTCATGGAGACACTGTCATGGAGGACAGAGGGAGAAACTTGAGGTGTAGGAAACTTGCAAGTCCTTTTTTATTGAGGAATGTGCTGTTGAGACAGGGTCTCTGTATAGACCAGGCTAGCCTAAAACTCAGAGATTCCCCTGACTCTCCTGTACGAATGCAGATACTAAAGGTTTGAGGAAGCCGGGCAGTGGTGGCACACACCTTTAATCCCAGCACTTGGGAGGCAGAGGCAGGCAGATTTCTGAGTTCAAGGCTAGCCTGGTCTACAGAGTAAGTTCCAAGACAGCCAGGATCACACAGAGAAACCTGTCTCGAAAAACAAAAAAAAAAAGGTTTGAGGAGACTTCGGGATGTCTTTCTTTGTTGGGGGTGGGGGGAGTGCGGGGGTGTTGTAGTGTGTGTGTGTGGGGGGGGGGTGGTATGTGGTGCACACACATCCAGGTATCTTCAGGAGGCTACATCCCCTTGAGCTGAAGTTATAGTCTTTTGTGTGGTCTATTGTGCTTTGCTTGCTAAAGGTTCTGGGAACTGAACTTGAGTCTTCTTGTAGCGTATACATACTCATCTGCTGAGCTAGCCCTCAGGCCCCAAGCCCCATCCCCAATTTTTAAAAAAGAAAATAGTTCTCAAACAACTAGATGACCTTAAATTCTCCATCCTCCTGCCTCCACCCCCACTCCCACCCCCCCAGTGCTGGGATTACAGACACATACTCGAACCATGTAAAACCACCATGCCTGACTAATAGATGGTCCTTACTTCTCTCACTATGGCCTGTATAGCCCACAAACTGGCGGAAGCTACCCAGCTTGAGGGAGTCAAGTATGTGTCTCATGAAATAGGAAAAGGGAAACAATCAGCTTTGCTTTGAGCTCACCTACTCCTCACTGTCCCGCTCCCAGACTAAAGTCACTGCCCCCTGGAGGATGCTTGAGTTTTATCGCCCAGTTCAAGGACCCCTGGGATAGTATTTGAAGCAACATGGAATCATCCCTGTCAGATCCACGAGCCCCTAATGGATGGATGAGAACCCCAAAAACATAGTACCCAGGATCCTGCCAAGGCACCAAATAGCCCAGATATTCTAAAAGTAGGATTCAAAAAAAAGGGGGTCCCTGGGAAGGTAACCACATCATTAGAGCTGTACCTGAACCCAGTTACAGGCAAGCATTGGGTGGGTCAAATTGACATCATGGAGAACTGCTTTACCAGGATGAAGTCCCAGTGTATCTACAAGACCCCAATAGGGACCTTCCTTTAACCATGCTCATTTAGACACGGAAGCCTTCGTCATGGACCAGGCAGTGTGAGAAATGAAGCAGAACCTAGGCCTTCGCGGTATACACAGGTCTCTGGGTATTTGTCTGCCACCGCATTGCCAAGAACCAAGAGTGGGCAGAAGGGAGGCTGCAGGTGTCTGTCTTCAAAGGCCAGGTGCAGCTAAGAATCCTACTGTGTACAGGGAAGAGCTGGGGAGCATGAACAAGCTTGGGTGATAACGGATCCACCGATGCCACTGGCTTCATCAACTAGCTCCGGCCGAGGGGTATACAGCAAGGTCTTCAGAAGCAAGGTCACCGCCAAACAGACTCTGATGGAGAAGCTAGCCCCCTGGCTCTGCAGCTCTCCCAGGCTTCAAGAGCTGATTGTGATAAGTTGTAGATTATTCTCCCATCTTCTGGCTAAGGCTGCTCACCACCACTACCACCACCTGGGGGACCTCTCTGGTCCTTAATCCCCTACAGCCTGCAAAAATGCTGCTCATTGAATAAAAGGAGAGCGTTGGGGGAACGCCTGCAGAGAACAGTAAAATGACAATTTTTTAAAGTTACATTACTCTAAAAAAAATGGGGGTGAGGAGTCTGCCAAGCCACTCACTCCAGCTACACCTAAATTCAAGGCAATCTTCCTACCTCAGCCTCCATTGTGCTGGGATTACAAGCTCGCAACTCCAAACTTGGCGTCACAGAGCCATTCTGATGCCCGGTCCCCCTTCCTCCTTTCTCATTAGCCTCTGGCAGGATGTCCAGATACCACATTTCCTTGGCCTTGACCCAGGCTAACTCATCACCCAGCTCAATCCTCTTAGAACCCTGCCAAGCCAGTGTCGGCAAAATCTCAGCCAGGTCACAGAACTGAAGGGGGCCTTGGGACACAGCAACAGATGGCGTGACAGCCATTCGGGAGTCATGTCCTCCCGTGTTCACAGTCTCTTTAAGGAGCTGTGAGCAGTAGGTGGGCTCAGGCTCTCCTCTGCCCTCCACTCTGCCTGATACAATTACTCTCAAAGTGCGGCAGCATATGTACAGCTCGGTCTCCATGTGCATCCCCCAGCAACCTGAGCAGAGGCTGTCCCTAAGGCTCTGACTGTGGAATCTGGTCCCCAACAGGACTACCTTGTCTGGCCTCAGTGGGAGAGGATGCGGCTAACCCTGCAGAGACTTGATGTACCAGCGTGGGGAGATACCCAGGGGTATCATACCCTTTCAGAGGAAAAGGGGAAGAGGGGTAGGGAGAGGGATTCTGGGAGGTGGGGGCAACAAAATAAAAAGAGAAGGAAGGAAGGAAGGAAGGAAGGAAGGAAGGAAGGAAGGAAGGAAGAAAAACAAGAGCTAGCTACAGAACATCTACACCGCTTCTCAACCTGTGGGTCGTGACCTCTTTGGGATCGCATATTAGATATCCTGCATATCAGATGTTTACATTATGATTTACAACAGTAGTGAAATGGCAGTTATGAGGTAGCAAGGAAATGATTTTTTGGTGGGGGGGGGGTCACCACAACATGAGGAAATGTATTAGAGAATTGTAGAACTAGGAGGGTTGAGAATTCCTGAGCTATATACCCTGCCAGGTGTTTAATGAAAAACATAAAACCTATTTGTTTTTGTTTAAACAGTGAAGAACTCTGTCTCAGAAGGGTGAGAACAGAGAAAGACACAAATATCCTACTCTGGCTTCTGCATGTGTACACATACATGTGCACACACACACACAAATATATACACATACAAAAAAAGACAAGAGTTTATATATAGGAGGCAGATCTGAGGCCAGCCAAGACTCTACCTCAACAAAAAAACAGAACAACAACAAAGGTTTCATGTAGCCCCAGGCTAGCCTCAAACTCACTAAGACTCTGCCTCCCAAGTGCTGGGAACAAAGGCATGTACCACCATAATTTGCTTGTTCTTACTTTATTTATTTGTTTGTTTTATTTATTTATGGGCTTTGGTTTTGGTTTGGTTTGGTTTGGTTTTTTTTCAACACAAGGTTACTTACTCTGTAGTCCTGACTGTCCTGGAACTCACTCTTCACTTTATAGACCAGGCTAGCCTGGAACTCAGAGATCCACCTGCCTGCCTCTCTATTTCTGCCTCTGAGTGCTGGGATTAAAGGCATGTGTCACAGTTTTTGTCTGTTTGTTTGAGGCAGGGTCTTTCTACATAGCTCTGGTTGTCCTTGAACTCAACTCGATAAGTAGACAAGGATAGCCTTGCACTCACAGAGATAACACCTGCCTCAGCCTCCTGAGTGCTGGGATTAAAGGCAAGTGCCACCAGGCCTGGGCTTGTTTATGTTTTTTTAAGATAGGTCTTA